TTGGTTGTAAATTGCAGTTCTTTTGTCAGGCCTGGGATATAAATAAAGTCATTTCCTTTGGTGCCTCATGCCCAAAGGATGCCAAAAGGACCATCTCATTTCAGATTTACCTGCATTTTCCTGCCTGTCTAATCAGCTGCTCTCCACCTGGGGCCAGGACTGGTGGCCTCTCCTTGGCCTGCTAACACCTCCTGCAGTGTTAAGGGACAGAGAGTGGAATCTCTTCCCTTATTGCAAGAGTGGAACATTAACCCTTTCATTTCCTTGCCAGGCAAAGTGCTCTTCCACCTAATCACAGCAAAGCACAGAGCTCCTGGTGAGTTTGGTTTGCTTCAGACAGCATTGCTATTGAGTGAAGGCTTTGAACAGCTTTAATGTCTTTAATTTACCAGGGAGATCAGACAGCAGGTGGTGCATTGTTCAACAGTTCCAGATATGACTGTGTTATGTGTTTTAGTGCTGTACTTGTGCTTTAATTACCATGAATTAACATCAGTTAAAAGCACCAGAGCAGCCAGTGAAGACCTGTGGAAGTGCATTTGTTTCTCAGCAGTCTGGGTGCTGCAGGTCGTGTGAGGAAGTTAGCAGGAGCCCAGTGTACTGGTGAGGAGGCTCAGGTGTTGCACAGATTTTCTGTATCTTGGAGAAACCATTTATTCTCACTGTGCCCACTTTCTTCCCATGTTGCTTGCCAATTTGTAAAATACACTGCAAGCAGAGAAGTGCTTTCATCTATTTATTTAGATGGAATGATTTGGAGCAGAGACCTTTTTCACTGTGTATCCTGGAAGCACTCTTGAAACCCTGTCTCTATCCTCCAAATAAGCAAACACTCACAATGCACTGCTCCAAGAGGATGGCATTACAGCAGGTAGCACTGCACATGGCTGAATAAAAGATTCCAGCTTTCCACGTGCCACCTTTGTAATTCCATTAGAATTCATTATGGATGTTCAGGTTACATGGAAGATGCACTGCCCAGCTCACATAACCCAGTCTCTCATGCTGCCAGAAGAGAAGGAGCCAAGCAGTTAAGAGAACAAGGGTCATGAAACTGTTTCACCCAAACCCAAACTCCTAGGGAAATTAAGAAATAAATTTCACAAAAGGCTTGTATTTATTTATACTATTAACTATCACAATAATCTTCCAAAGGAGAAAAAACATGATTCAAGAATAACTCACCAGAAGAACAGAAAGGGATCTCAAGGGTAAAGAGGCTGCTTAGATTCCAGAAAGCAGAAAGAAGCCACAAGTTATCTGAGAGCTGTCTTTAATTATTTAAATTTATAATGAAAAATAATTTACAAAGCCAACATGGGCTCTCTTAAGCAAATTGATTTCTTAAAACATTTAAAATCACTCGGACATTTCACTTTTGTCTGTGTTGCTTGTTCCTTTCATTCCTGCAGCACTCTGCCTGTGCAGATCAGAGTAGCTGTCACTGCAGAACAGCCATCTCATTTTGTTTACTTTGTGTTTCAAAGGGAATCGAACAAGCCCAGGATTCACTTTCTCTAAACAAATACTGGCAAGACAAAGGTATCACAGCTATTCTGGGGACAAGAGGTTCGCTGAGATGGGAAATGGTAAAGACTGGCAAGAAAAAAACAGTCAATGTGTTTTTATCTGAAAAAAAGTTAATCCTTTTCACAGCCTCATTTTCTTTGCTTTTGAGATAGCTCTCCTTTTTCATTTAGGTTTTAGAGTTTTTAAGCTAAGGGAAGCAAGAAACCAAGATATTTCCTTTGTTCCTGTCAAGTAGCTTGAACAGTTCCAGAACAGAAACCAGTCGGAGCAGTGTGATTAGCGTAGCCAATTAAAGTGGATTTGCATATTCAGAACGCAGCTATCGAGAAATAACTCTGCAGAGATAAGGGGAGTGTGGCAGTGCCTGCGTGCCAGTCAGAGCAGGCTGGCACTGTGCTGTGTGGCACTTGAGCAGGGACAGCGGGGTGATGCTGCACCAGCCTGGCACAGCAAGGGAGGGAAGGGCTCTGGGCAGGCAGGAGCAGCCTGGCCCTGCAGGCTGGAAAGGGTTAACCTGCAACCTGCTGTTGCATCTGTCCAACGGGTTTGTTTTCCCAGCATTCATTCCAGCCACGATTTTTTGCTACCTGACAGTTTTTACCTCCTCTGGAGTTTGGGATGCCCTGGTCCACGGGCACGGTGGGGGGCAAGGTGGGGGGTGAGCTTTGCAAGGGGCACAAGGGAGCTTCACTCAGTGGATGGATGTAAAGCCCTGCTTTCTTCTGCCCCAAAAAAGGGCTTTTCACCATGGTGGCATCCAAGGACCAGTCCAGAAAGCATAACAGCCCTCCAGGAAGCCTTGTGCACTCTGTTGGATAACAAACTGGGGCTGGCCATCACAGCAGCTTTGCTATCTCCGAAGGTGAAAAATCACCTTTTGCACTACAGCAACAACAATCTGTGCTCCATCTCAGTGATTCTCTGTGCTCCATTCTCAGTCATCTCTTACCAACAACTGCATCATTACAAACATTTGTGTGAGCATGGAGTGGCTGAGTGAGGCACACAGAGCCAGCTGCACCCCCGAGCCCATGGGATCTGCACCCCCAGGAGGCTCAGCTCTCTCGCCAAGGGGCTGTGCAGCATCCATGGGTGCTGATTTGAGAAGGAAATACAGTGGGTTCTGTCCTTAATGCTCTTGGCCTCCTCCTCCTTAGCAGCTGAAGTCATGGTGTGCAATTGCAACAAATGGGGTCAGGAGGGACTCCCTGGAGTGTTCTCCCGGCTACAACTCCACATTCACCTTCAAAACTGCTATGGGAAAGGCAACAACGCAGAAATTAACTCGTGGTATTCACTGCTACAAAATATCAAGGAAAACTTAATGAAATGCCTAAGGTGGGACCATTACAAAAATCCTGAGTCTATAAACTGGTATCACATCCACTGGGGTAAAAACTGTGAGCACTGAACCTCCTTGCCACAAAGAGGCATTAAGCATATTTAGTTGTGGAGCAATGCCTCTCTCCAGGAAGATATATCTTTCTGTAATCACCCACAATAGGCATTTTACTCTGGAATACTCAATCCTGGTTTATCTAGTCCAGTAACCCATGGAGAATTTTTTTATTTTTAATGGTCTCCATCTATGATTATCCACAATTGTCTCTTTCCTTCCTAACCCCTTTGTGGCACCAGCTCTTTATTAGAAACTTAATAAACTTTGTGTACATTCTAAAGATAATATTGAAAACGTAAAATTGTATTCTGCATTTTATAATTGGTGTGGAAAAAAAATGGGGAGATCTAATCCTATTGGGCCTTCTCTTTTTCTCTCTCTCTCTCTCTCCCTTTTCCCTTTTGATGGTAAGCAGCAAATTTTAATTGGCTTCATTTCCACAATTCAGTCATGCATATGTAATCTTTGTTCACACTTTTATAAAGTAAAATTAAGTGAAAGAAATGGGGTAATAATAGAAAGCTTGTCTGAGCAGAACAAATGTGAATTATCAAACGTAAGGAAAGATGACTGGGACTACACAGCTTGAAGTTCTGCCAGGTTTGAGGTGATTTTTCGGAAACAGAAGTGCATAAATAATGCACAGAAACAGGTGCTGATTATCCTGTTTGGGGCATCTTTCTGTTCATTGTGTACTTGGGCTGCTGAGGTACAGTGATAACCACTGAATGTGAGGAGACTGTTTAATAACAATTTCCTAATGTTTCTCTTTTATCATGAGCTGCAAGCGTCACATGAGCTTGTCTAGTTAATAAAAATCACTTTGTGAGCCCACTGCTCTTAGATTTGGCACTGGAGCAGATCACTGTACTGGGCCTCTCTTTATTACAGCTGCAAAAGCTCTACTGTCATTTTGCATTGTAATTTAAAGGTTTCCTAATCTATATACACCCCCTCTAATTAAATGTTTCCAGGGGTTACCTCGGGCGCATTCAGTGCTATGGTTTGAAACTAAAACTAAAGACCACATCAAATTCTTTCCCCTTGGGGTGAGACACAGGAGGGGGAAGAACATTTGCATCCCTGCCACTCCAGATTATTTGAAAGCATTGGCATGACTGGGATTACTGACTTGGTTATTTCTGTTATCTTACATGAGAAGATGGAAATTTGAAGGGAAAGAATCCTCGTGTCTAAATCTAGAGCTCATCTTATTTTATAACTTCCAAGAAGCCTCTTTAGAGTCTGTCTAAGCAGTTATTTTAAGAAGCTACCAGTTCATTAGCAGAAGCTGAAAACCAGAACCTCCTGTTGATGTAAATCAGTCCGTGGCTGCACAGGCTCCATAACCAGCACTGCAGATGTGAGGTCTCCGTTAAAGGAAATGTGCAGTAGTGAAGCATGTGGGCAGTAACACACACTGCAGTGAAATCTGGAGCCCAGGGAATATTATCATGAGGAGATACTTTCTCTTCAGCACCATTCACACACTCAGCCTGACAACCAAACCACAGCTTTAGGAGAAACACCTCTGCTTATGACAGGAAGTGACTTTCAGATATGAGGGGCTTGCTTTTGTCTATTTTTTCCCTCTCTCGAAACCTGCTGTGCTCCCAGTGACTAAGGATGGCCAAGATTTTGGTTAATGGTTAACAGAGTAACGTTAGCACACAGACTCTGACTTCCTCCTGCTGGGGCCAGGACCAAAAGCTGCTTTGCTTGCTGGGGAACAGACAAATGTGGAAAGCAGAGCAGCTCACACCGTGAAGGGCTGGAGAACAGAGGCTTCACCCCATGGAGAAAGGAGGAGGAAAATCCAAAAAGAGCAAGAGGTGTTTGGTATGAAGAAAGGTAAGAGCTGAAACACTTTCCTGTTTAACTTACTGACTCAGAGACTGTTGCTCACAAACCAACAAAGCCCACAGGTGTGGCTGGTTGAGACACACTCGTTATACCTGACTGCTCAGACATGTGTGGCTTGGGGAGAGGGGCAAAGTGAGGAGAATCTGTTTGCTGTGAAGTTGAAACTTGGAGAGGGCAGGAGAGCACCTCCTCCACCCTGGGACTGCTCATGGCAGGAAAGACACCCGCTTCAGACTGTTCTCCTGTCATTGACCACAGCCACGTCCCGGAGTTTGAGGTGGCTCTGTGGGTCAAGATCACCTTGGCCTTGGTCTACATCTGCATCTTTGTCGCGGGCCTCTTGGGCAACAGTATCACCATCAAAGTCACCAGGATCCTGCAGAAGAAAGGCTACCTGCAGAAGGAGGTCACTGACCACATGGTGAGCCTGGCCTGCTCCGACCTGCTGGTCATCCTGCTGGGCATGCCCGTGGAATTCTTCAGTGCCATCTGGAGCCCCTTTTCCACCCCCAATGGCAACATTGCCTGCAAGCTCTACTACTTTCTCTTTGAGGCCTGCAGCTACGCCACGGTGCTGCACGTGGCCACGCTCAGCTTTGAGAGGTACGTGGCCATCTGCCACCCCTTCAAGTTCAAGGCCGTGTCTGGGCCCCGCACGGTGAAGCTGCTCATTGCCTTTGTCTGGGGCACATCCCTCATTGTGGCTCTGCCCCTGCTCTTTGCCATGGGCACAGAATATCCCCTGGAGGCCATCGAGGGCTACGAGAGAACGAGCTCCTGTGTCAAGCCTACTCCCAGGCACTACATTCCTGAGCTGAAGCACAACATGACCATCTGCACCTGCCTCTCCTCCAGGTGGTCTCTGTTCCAAGCCAGCATCTTCAGCGCCTTTGCTGTGTACATCATCGTGCTGGGCTCTGTCACCTTCATGTGCCACAGCATGATGAAAGCCCTGATGATCCACAAGAAGGGGGCTGTGACAGTGAAGGGTGGACTGAAGCACCAGGAGCAGTACCTGAGGAAAAGTGAAAGTTCAGAGGGCAGGAGCTCCAGGAGACAGATCACTTTATTCCTGGGTAAGAGCCATGTCCTGCTCTGCCTCCCCTCTCTCCCTACCCCCTTTCCACTTGGGAAGAAAGCCCAGAAACCTCTGGTTTTATCTTACCAAGCTCTCCCAAAGGGTTTGAAAGTGGTACAAAATGAGGGATAATACTTTTGGTTGCAATGATACATTTCAAGAAGCCTGATGTTTCTCTATCATTTTGGGTTTTTTTGTCATTAGAACAGGTGGGAAGGAAAAACAAGGAAAAATCCAATCACTGTCTGCTATTTCTGTTGGATTTTATTACATGCAGCAATATGGGTGACAGGCTGTTGCAGCTTGACCTTTGGGGTAGCAATAGGCAACAGTTTCCTGGCTATAAAGTAGCTCTACTTTATATATGTTATATTTATGTATGTTTTAATATATTTATCTATAAATATTTTATATTTATATATATGTTTTACGTATTTATATATGTTTTATATATTTATATACGTTTTCCCACTAAATTACAAATATGAGTGTATTTAGTAAGGCTGCTGATGGGAGGGAAGACTGTATTGCAAGCTCTCAAGCTTGTCTCTCTCTGAAGGCATTTCCCTGTTAATTCAGGATGCTCCTTGGAGAGTTCTCAGCCTCAGCAGTTGTGGCTGTGTTGCATGTGAGCATTAAGGAAGCTGGACTGGAGAGCTGATTTGGTCTCACAAACTGCGGTTGCCCTCTTTGAATTTTTTTTTTCCTCTGGTTTTATTTGAAAGCCTGTAACCCTGAAATTATGTTTGATTCTGATCTCTCTCGCCACATTCATCAGACAAAAAACTAATGGAGCTGTCATTCCACCAGCTTGGAATCTTTCTGGGCAGTGATCCATGCAGCCTCCACGTTTGCTGATAGTCTTATAGGCACCCTCAATCATGTCCTGAGCATTACTGTTAGTTCCTGTTTTGTTGGGTCCCTTATTATGGTGCTGGATATAATAAATGAACCATCTAGAAGAGAAATGCACAGTACACCCAGTATCTGTGTTGCTTTTTGGTGCTCTGACTGATATGGCAGAGAGGGACTTGAAATTCGTGCATCTGTCCACTTCTACAACTTTAAGTAGATTAGATTTTGTATTACTTTTTTCCTCCTTTTTAATATTTGTTTTTCCCCTGAGAATCCTCTCCTTCCTCATCTAGTCCTGCTTTTGCCATGGCCTGTGTCAGGCAATGAAATGAAGAAATCATCTCCTCTCACAAGGAGTGGAGAGGCCCCATCTGTGGTTTATTAAAAGGGCTCTGTGTCTCTCACTCCAGTGACAGTACAGATTTCTAGAGTTCAGGCTCAGCAGTGGAGCTAAACACACCTGTGGCACAAAGCAGAAAAAGGGATCTGCTCTTGAAGGGCTGCCTGGGGGATCCTTAGATATGTGTGGCTCTCCCTCCCATTAAAGCCAAACCTGAGATCCAAATCCTGGCTGGGCTGAGAGGGGAAGGTAAATTGCCATGGCTTTTCCTCCCCTTCTTGATTATTCTTCCTGGTACTCTAGCATGGAATAGGAGATGCAATGCTGCTTGCAGAAGTGCTGAATAAACAAAAGCAACTGATTTTAACCTTTATGATAAGGGAATTTGCCCTCCTGTGTATCTGACACTTCCACTGTGCTCTCAGCTTTCTGGAGACAGGAGATACTTGTGTGAATTCCCCAAAATTATTTTAGTGGCAAGACTCTTAATACAAGCCTTGCTAATTTACTTGGCTTGGGGAATAAATTAATAAACTGAGGAGGAAGAAACTCTGGCTTGCATTTCTGAGAACAATGCAAAGCAATTTAATTTGGAGATTTCATAACAGTGGTGCTTTAGGGCAGTTTTAACCCAGAAGAAATGAACATATAAATTGTTTACAAATTGCTGAATTTAAATATTGTGATTTAGAAGTCCTCTTTGTTTTTCATTTAACAGATGGGTCAAATTAAAACCAATACTTGCACATTCACGGCATATTTCACTTTTAATGTGAAATGTAAATGACAGTATATAGCATCGTGTCTTTGTACATCTAACAGCAATAAAAACAATTTAGCATTTTCTTCTGGTTGTTAAAAGTGATAAGTTCTATAAAACGGAGATTAAAATCATAAATCTGACTATGAGAAAAAGCTAAGTAGAGGATGACACTGGGAGGAAATAATGTTTTTTTAGTGTCATGTTATTGTGTGGCACTCGAGAACGTTCATGGAAATTAATTGTAAATGTTGAAAGATTACTTGCTATCGATGGTATTGATGCTTGCAGGAGGGGTGACACCACTGCAGAAACTGGGTAGCTGAAATAAGTCTGAAAACACTTGGCTGATGGCTCTTTCATGAAATGCAAGCTTTTAACAGTATTTAAAACCTCTTAATATGCTTGACCCACCCTGACAGGAATCAATTTAGTCTTTGTGGCTACTTGATCTTGTCTTTCTCCTATGGCCATGAAGGCAGTGACCACCTAAATGGTGACAAGGTGCCACTGGGACCTCTTGCTGCTCCAACACCTGAGGCCCTACGCTGTAGGAGCTCTCAAGAAAGGGTGGGTTTGGAGGGCATATATCTTATAATTATAAACATTATAAGTGGATTGCAGCAAACACAGAAAGGGAATATAAAGGAAGGATTCCGTAAAAGACAGCTCCAACTAGTGCAATAATTATAAATATTACAAAAAGAACACTTCCATAGCTGAAAGTAAGTTAAGAATCTTTTGGAAAGTAAGTTAAGAATCTTTTGGAAAGTAAGTTAAGAATCTTTTGGAAAGTAAGTTAAGAATCCTTAGGAAAGTAAGTTAAGAGTCTTTGGGAAGTGTTAGCACTGGGAGAGGGGAGCAGTATGTGAGGAGCCTCCACATGAGCTCCTGGAGGGAAAGCACCACCAGCAGTGCCTGCTCCCTGGCCATGGCTACACCAACCTGGCCACTGTCCAGAAGCACATTTGTACAAAACCAGCTGTGTGGTTTGTCATCACACTGGACCTGACTCGACAACAAAGTGAGTTCTGATGATCCCAGCTGAAAAAGGGGTCGGTTCTAAAGCTTCTGTGATGTTTCCCTTGGCAGCTTCAGTTTGAGCTTCTGCTAAAAGCCTTGATCATTTTGCATAAAGCAGCCTCAAGCCTACCACAGTACAGACATTGAAATAAGGGTCTGTTTGTGCTGCTACATCCTCTTTCTTTGTATTACACACTTCCAGTTGGCCCTTTGGAGCAGCATTCCTCTGTTTCCACAGATCCACTGAGTGGGGCTGCTGGGCTTGGTGGGTGCTTTGCCAGTTGACATCTGGGCAGCATTCTTCTGTCTCCTGTCCATGATGAAACATCTGTCCTTCCTGAGATATTCCATCCAGAAAAGAGAAATATCCAAGTGGTCTGGCTGCTATGGAAGTATTGGTGGAGGTGCACTGAAGCACTGCTGTAGCTGCAGCAGGCTGCAGGAGCCAGAGCTGATGCTGGACCTGCCCAGCTGGAGATCCTGTTGGTACCATCCAGCACCATCAGCTCCCCTGGGACATGTGAGGCAGGAAATTCCCACTGCTTTCTCTTTCCCACCTCTACAGAGCTGCAACTCTTCTGCTTTGGGACCATCTGATGTAGGATGAATTTTTTCCTGGACAGCAGATATCCTGCAGCTCTTTTAATAAGCAGGCAAGAGAATTTGTTATAACCTACAGCTGTGCATTCATCTGAGAAAGGCAGCATACTGGAGGTTTTAAATTTTTTTTGGTGGGGTATAACACTTAAGTGTGTCAAATACACTGAGTGTAAACCTGAAGGCAATGGCAGTGGTGATTTCCTGTGATGTGGTATGGTACAGACAGCTTCAGGGTAGGTCTGCTTTACATGGCAAGGGCAGCCAGAGGCTTTACTGACACTGGTGAGTGACATGGAATGAAAGAGAATCCCTGTCTCTAAGTGGAAAAAAAACCCCATCCAAAGCCAAAAAGAAAATGGGCAGAAGGGAAGGGCTGGAAAAGCTAGGCAGGAGGAAGTCAGACCTGACCAAAGCCATGCCACTTTTCTGGTGGCTGTTTTTAAAGCAATGCCAGGCTATTCTATAACAGCACCAAAGCCTCTGTGAACACCATGACCAGCTTGACTGAGCCATTAGCTGAATCTAGATAAAACCTTGACTCACAACTTCAAAGGATCTCTTAGAACTTCAGATGGAGCACCATTTTCTTGCCATATACTACTGCTGGCAGCTTAATGCTCTGCTCAGAATAAAGGTATTATGTGTAGGAATGGCCTCTCCAAAGATCACTGAAGAAGTGTATTTTGTAAGGCACTTGGAAAATTTCAGAAGGCAAATTACTTCAGAGTACTTCAAGTAGTTGTGAAAAATGCATGGTTGTCATCTAGGTATGACTCAGGCACAGTGTAATTTGACAACAGACTTCTGGTACAGGAAAATTAGATGCTTCTTCATAGGCTGGAATTTGGCTGGGTTTTTCCCTACTGAAAAAGCTAAAGGTTAGGGATAGAACAAAAATGAAAAGAATAAGCTAATTGATGAGATTCCAGAACGCAGCTCCAGCCCACGTTCTTTAAACTCAGCTTCATTGACTCCTTGGGGTTCGATTCTTTAATCATTCCATCAAGCTGCCTTTCTTCAGGCACCTTGCTGCAGACATGTCTGAAGATGACTACCCTGTAGGCTGGATTTGATTTTCATCTCTCTGTGTTTCATATGGTGGTTCCATCCATAGGTTTTCCTCAGCAGGGCTTTGAATTCCACAAGACAAGTAGAAGGCTCAGTGCATGGAAATGGGTGGACACTCAGACCAACAGACCAGGGTCTGGCCACTCTGGTGTCTGGGGCATCTACCCTCTGTAACTAGTAAGGTTTTTTTTTCCAGGTCCTGCTTCTTGGAAAAGTGATAAAAGCAAATTATTTTCCTGCTGGTGTTGGGTAAAATTTGTCTTCCCCTTCTCTGCAAAAGCATTAACCTGGTGTCAGTGGCAAAACCAATCAGTGCTGTTGAATGCTGGTAGCACAAAACCGAAGCTCAGCT